TGTTTCTTTTACTTGTGTCATAAATTCCACGAACCGTCACCCCATGCTTTATCGGTGTTCCAATCTAATCTGACCGAAAACGATCGTTTAGTCCATGCTTGGGCCCATCACCATTTTCCTTGTTTGTCTTTTGAAGATGGCGAAACATGTTTAGGATTTATGAATGACAATATGGTAGAGTTAATGGATTTAAGTTGAATTAATTAAAGTTTAAAAAATAAATACCACGTGATCTTTTCCAGTTTCCCGCCTATAAAAAGCGCAGTCACTTGTCTTTGGCCAGTCATTTGCAACATGGCAACCGAACTTATCATTGTTGTCCAAATCTTGGAAGTGGATGACAGGCCTATTAAAGTATTTACCCGTAATCAGCGTCTGGTACCTATAATCACTCGCTTACTACTACTTTCCCAAAATGACGACAAAGTGACGTCATCAAGGATTTCCTTGGGGTTTTCCCAATGACGTCATCTCCCTAGCAACTAAAGTCCCTGAAGACATGCCCCTACTACTACGTCATATTTAGTCACGTGGTACGTCTCAGCCAATCAGCGTCTGGTACCTATAATCACTCGCTTACTACTTACAATAATGTAGAAAATGATTTTCTGAAAAGAGAATAAAATACACTCATAAGAATCTTAACTAAAGGTACGTTACTATGTTTTTCAATACTACAGACAACAATTAAATCAGTATCATGCAGAGGTTATATCTGTAAGTTGTTTGCTTTCTTTTATTACCTACCTGACACTATGATTACAATACGAACATTGAACTGAAAAGTTTATTTCAAATGAAAAATCATCCAAGTGAAAGGTTATTCACACGGGGAAATAAAAAGGAAATTTTTAGACTCTAAATGGAGTAGATGAGTTATAATAAAAACTTATAAAACTACGGAAAGACTAAAAAGTCTACTTCGTGATCTCCTATCAATAGTTAACGAATAAAGCTGTTCCACTGTTCTCTGTTTCCTCACGCAGAATGAATCTTTTTCCAGAAAATTAAATCTTTTATCCGTTTCACAGGTCACATGAATAAGAATAGATCGCGAACATTCTAGAACGCGACCGTTAGTAGCAGACAACTTCCACATTATGACGTCACATTTAGTCACGTGATACGTCTTAGCCAATCGGCGTCTGGTACCTATAATCACTCGCTTACTACTAATAATGTAGAAAAGAGAATAAAATATACTCATAAGAATCTTAACTAAATGTACGTTACTATGTTTTTCAATACTACAGACAACAATTAAATCATTATCATGCATAGGTTTTCCTCGGGGTTTTCCCAATTACGACATCTCCCTAGCAACGGTCGCGCATGCGCATAAC